TTTTTATTTTTTTAATAATCGATAGCATATTGCGCTTGCTTTCTTTTTTTTCTTTTTTTTTCCTTTTTTTTTCCTTTTTTTTTTTTTTTTTTTTTTTTTTTTTTTTTTTTTTTTTTTTTTTTTTTTTTTCCTGGGCGCGAGTGTTCCGCCGACTTACAGCCCCGCGTAGGGCAGAATTAGAAAATGTATAAATACTTCTGCGCAAAGCCAAGCGTATCAGATGCAAAGCGCAACCGCTGCGCAGCGCCGGGAAGCCGGGCAGGCAGCAGGGCAGGGCCGGGGGGGAGGGACTGGGGGGTCCCCCAGTGTGTCCCCCAGTGGGTCCCCCGGTTCCCGACCGTTCCGACACTTCCTACAACTGTTGCGAGCCAAACGCTCCACGGGTCCCTGTATTTTCCTAAGCCCCCCGCTTCCCGCTGGCTACACCTCATCTGAGACCGACGCGAACACAGGCAAAAGAGTTTGTGACTGAGATTGTCCTCTCGCTGTCCCTCGTTTGGGCTTCTATTTGGTTTTATTTGATTTTTTTTTTTTTTTTTTCCTTTTTGCAACTTTTACTTTCTTAAACGGGGAGAATTTGCGCAAGGCGTGGAGTTGGTATTTATAAACTGAGCACCCGGAAAAGTCGTGAACTGGCTAATGGGTTCATCGTAATAGAGACTGGTCATTATTCGGCCACATTTTGATAGGAATCAATCGTCCCGATTTAACTTTACGAGATATACACCTTCAAAGAAAGTAGATAGGAAAGCCAAAATAACTGTAAAAATAATGGCTGAGACATTCTCCGTGTGGAACAAATGCTTAAAATATGTCATTGCCCTATAAAAAATAGCTCGGAAGCATTTTTCCGGGCCAATTTCTGCTCGTATTACTGAAATGCGTAATCCTTTTGAAGTTACATGGCAAACAGGGCTCCTCGCATGATCAAAATCAACAAAGTTTGCCCCCAGATTTTTAGGCACAAGGGAAGACTTCTTTTCTCCAGAGCTCCCATTGATTTCAATGGTCATTCTGAGCCTGAAACAGGAGTAACTGTGACCTGTAATATTTTATGACACATAAACCATAAAAGAATAATGTTAACAGTGAAAGTCGGCCAAGTAGCGTGCCTGGGGGAGAAAAGGAATGTTTGCCTTGGAAAGGGAGAAAGGGAAAAAGGAGAGAGAATGCGGGAGAGAAAGAGAGAAAAAGTGAGAAAGACACAGGAAAAGACAGAGAGAAGAAAAGAAGAAGAAAAAGAAAGAAAAGAAAGAAAAGGAAGAAAAGAGAAGAAAAGAAAGAGAGAGAGAAAGAGAGAAAGAAAGAGAGAAAGAGAGAGAGAGAAAGAGAGAAAGAGAAAGAGAGAAAGAGAGAAAGAGAGAAAGAGAGAGAGAGAGAGAGAGAGAGAGAGAGAGAGAGAGAAAGAAAGAAAGAAAGAAAGAAAGAAAGAAAGAAAGAAAGAAAGAAAGAAAGAAAGAAAGAAAGAAAGAAAGAAAGAAAGAAAGAAAGAAAGATTTTTTTAAAATATTATATTGTATTTATTATTTATTTACATATTTCTGTATTCCCTTTTTGTGGTTACTAGTTTACTGCGGTCTCACAGAGCTAATTGCTCGGGGAAAGCAAACAAGAGATCTTGCTCCTAAATTTAGGAGGAAAAACATTACGAAACTATTCTTTCCCCGCAAAAGAAAAACGCAGACCCCCTCTCCCCGCCGCCTCGGGGGTCCCCGCCGTCCCCCCAAGTCCCCTCCCGGCAGCGGCGCTGCCCCCCGGGCTCTCCCCCCGACACCCCCGGGGGCCCGCCCGGCTCGGCGC